TATGACTGCCATTTTTGAAAATTATTTGCTGTTATTATAGAACTTATCCAAAACACCAATTGTCTTACTTCTTATCTATTTCGTTATATAATTCTGCAGTAGTTTTCTTTGGATTTGTTGTCCTAATGACATAAGAGACCTGTCTTTATTTATCTTTTCTTCATTAAAAAGTAATCAACTTACATTGTTCACCCATGACGAGCAAACGTACTGTTGATGTTCTTGATAAAGATAATTCAAACACTAAAATATAATTTATTGGTGTGCTTAACCTTGTGACTTAAAATTTGTGTTAAAGTAAATATCTGATTATAGTAAAATTCAGAATATAAATCAATCTAACTGCACTTAGCTAACAACTGATTTATATTTTTTGTTTTTTATCTCATGTCAAATCATTGATAGAAACCATCCACCAATGACTTTGAGAATGCTCTGTCATTATAATGACCATTTAAAGACTCTATAAAATTCAGCTGAAGAGGTTTGGTAAATTCAAAACAAATATTTAATTCAATACTAAAATTTTATTGCTGTGGGTAGTTATGCTGACAGTTGCATGTTTTAATGCAATTTTTATGAAAAGCACAATGTTACTGAAGTATCTAATTAAACTACCTCATAAAATAAACTAAATTGGTTTCTTTATATCTCAAAGTTGATGCTGTGTTGAAGTATGATTTTTAATTAATGGCAACGATTTTGCATTACCTGTGCACCAGCTACCGTTAATGCAATCATCTTTTAATCAATCAACCTTGATAGAAATCGTTTACAACAACTCGTATAATAAAATAAAATGCTTACCTATTTTTTATATAGCGATATTAACAGATTTTGCGAAATGCACCGGGAACTTTTTGTCACTCCTTGAATGTGTGCTTTAAATAATCACTCTATTGAAAAGACAAGCCAAAGTAACTTGAAATCTTTACATTAAAATTTCATGAAAGTAGTTTGAAGTTTCTAATACGGTCCAGATGTCACGAAAGACCCTATAGCAATAACCCTTAATAACAATGCGAGTTTTACAATCCTATCGTATACAATAGAGCATACACTGCGTACCCAAACTTACTAAAGGACAAACTGATCAATCACATACTGATCTCTATGTATAACATACTGATCTGAGTATAACTTACATGTTCAAAGGTAACATATGGGATTTAGATATAGACGCTATGCGCTGTTACAATTATCCAAAGCAAGTAAGAGATATAATTTACAAAGTAAATATTGTTTAATTAATAAAGTCACAAGAATGTCCTTTGCTAGGTATAACCACTGTTAAATGTCAAGCAAAGGAATCACGAAAGAGATATAAAAGTCATGCTAAATTGAAGAGAAGAAAGACCTGCACCGTAAAAAAGATAGATTGAAGACGATAGGAAACAATCTGAAAACTATGGGTATTCGAAATGGCTATTGATAATGTTTCCAAAGGGAAAAGAGTGGAAGAAATTAGAAATTGACTTAACCTATAACGTTATTAACAATAACATGATAAAGATAAGATATTCTATGTAAGACAATGAATAGATGATAACTATTTTATTTAGTCAGTTTAACAAATCATATCCTTACTTTAAATATCTACATATATAAGTGTTATATATGTTATTATGTACGTTTATGAACTTAAAGAAATTTCCAAAATATTTTATCACAAATGAGTATATAACATTAAGATGGATTTCATTTCAAAGCTTATTACTACAAAAATCTAAATAAGAGCATTTACTTTAAATAAGATTTAAATCCAAAACACTTTAAGCTGAAATGCTTTATATTTATATATTAATATATGTGTGTATTAAGATTTTATGGATTGTTAAAGAAATCTTGATTATAATAAGAACTAATCTTATGATAAAGAATCTATATCTTGATTCTTGACATAGAGGTTTGCAACAGATCTAATCATATCATTATAATAGTTCTCTACAGTTGCAAGATTAAAATTCTTCATTTTTATCATATGATACATGGCATTATTCATTGCCTAAAACAGTCAGTTTTCTTAGTATACCCGGACTACCTTCCAAAAAAAAGATTGGAGTTTTGGAGTAAAACGCTGTCATTGCCACTAGAAGTTTTGTCTCATATTTAAAATGTAGAAATACGACTCTAATCGCAGTACAGTATTGAAAGAGCTAGGTTCTAAAAACTGCTAAGCGGAACGTAATACATTTACATCCTGGAATGCCTTTTCAAAGATTCTCCTTAAATACTCTAAATCGAGATTTTTATTGTTGAAGAAGGAAAACTTCTTTCTTACAACACTATTAGCATTTTATGACTTTACAGATTTGAGTCCGGTTTTGGAAAATTTTCAGAATTTCAACTGAACTTTAGTCTTGTCAGCTTTCCATCTCCGCCGGTACTACCTCATCTTACACAAATCATTTTCCACACAAACCATACATTGCACTTTGACTTAATTTGGTTCAAACCTCTGTATTTGTATAATTTGTCTCGCATATATCTCACGCAGAGTTGTTGACATTTAATTTTGAGATAATTATTGTTATTATTATTTTAACGATTATCTATTAACAATCATAAACATATCTATAATTTTTGTGATTTAATCAAAGTAGAACCAACACCAGATGGAATAGAAAGTATTTTGTCGCATATTAAAGCAATTTGAGCTGAACGTGCTTTGACCTCTTAATTTGCTCATAAATGCTGATCAGAAGGCATAATTCATCTCCGATATAAACACATCGAAATGTTATTTAGGCTGCTGAAAATCACACCTTTGATTTAATTAATTACAATACAATCATTTTGATGGCTTTGACCGTATCATAAACAAAATCAAAGCCAACAAAATGATTGATCGTTGCCAAACAGAAAACTGACATAAAATTGAGCTTTGATCATGCCGCGTACGTAGTTCGTTCGAAATAAATTAAATATTTGTAATTTATTGTGCAAAATATATAAAATTTATGATTTAGCAGTCATAACTAAATATTGTATTTTATATTTTTACTTTCATTTTGCAGACCCCGCCACTTTAAACATTTTTGCTACTCGTCCAAATCCGAAAAAGAAACGAAAATCACGAACAGCTTTCACAAATCATCAAATTTTCGAACTCGAAAAGCGTTTTCTCTACCAAAAGTATTTATCACCGGCGGATCGTGATGAAATTGCAGCAGGACTAGGGCTATCCAATGCACAGGTAAGTACCTAAGTAGTATTCCAAAGCATATATAAGTGGGAACACGTTTTAATTCACTCCATGATTAACAGGTGATCACTTGGTTCCAAAATAGACGCGCCAAACTGAAACGGGACATGGAGGAGCTCAAAAAGGATGTTGAAAGTGTGAAACAATTGTCAGCACATAAAAGTTTTTTAGAAAATGTTAATGACTTAAGTATTTTAAAGACAAGACCAGTCAGCAGACATCAGCAGCCGCAGCCATATACGCAGCCAATACATCCAACGGCACACACCATCCTCCCATGTATTGGTATTGAACACCGCAGCAGCAGCAGCAGCCGCGGCACACCAGAAGTCATCCTTAGCTACAATGGCAGCAACAGCAGTAGCAGAGGATAAGAAGGAGCTGAAGATGTTGAAAATGATGACACTGATGTACTACAGCGGAATGGACGTTGTGGGGAAAGCCTCGAGCGGCACTGTAATCTGAAACGACGACGAGTTCCACATAATATAGAATTTTGCTTCAAACTTCTTTATTAGCCCAATTTTATGTTTAAGGTTGAATGAACTTTGTTTCTCAAACTCGTATACAAAATTCAGTTAACGTTCTAGGGTTAATAATGTCCTATTAATATAAGCCGAATGAGAAGTGCACGTGTACTTAAGCCTAACTTATTTATAATGAAATATGCCAAAAAAGTTAATTACCATTTTTAAAAATTTTATCTTTAATTAAAGTATTTTGTTTAAACGAGTTTTTTTTTTATTCATAAGATGTGATTTATTTAATTTTAATTGAAACGTTTAATATTATATTTTAAAAACATTTATTTATTAAGCTTCTAAGGACATTTCTGAATTTAATTAATTTTATTTAAAAACATATAGAATTATATGTACATAAAACTTTACTAAATTATTTTAAATAAGTTATTTATTGAAAACTAATTTTAGTCAATAAATCATGCAAATTAATTCATCTGTTTTCGTTATTTGTGTTATCAGAGCAACACCTGGAGAGAAGATTAAATAGGACAGCTAATAATTGCATATTTGAATTTATGTTTAGGATCCCATTGGTTCCTAAGGAACACAACCTTAAATAAAACTCTGGTCTCTGCTGTATTTTATGTTTCAATTTTATTTTTATAATCTTTTACGCATATGTCTCCCAACTCCTAGATTAAGTTGGTTTTCTTCTACTTCTTCTCCATACCTGTGTTAAACATCTTTCAACAGAATAACTGGTCTATTAAATACTAGCAAACCATTAACGTTGCTTGGTAACCGATCATAGAACTTGTTATTTTTTTTGATATTGTGTACTAATAGAGACCAGTCTTCCAAATACTTTTGTTAACTAGTATTCCATAGACGCGATTCTATCTTCATGTCCTCTGATTGTTAATAATTTCGAATTTGCAATTCAAACGACTGCATCAAGAATTATTCCTACATTTATAGCACTTATAACACTGCTTTCATATAAATTTTATAGGACATTGTGTTATGTACTTTTTTCATTAAAACTGAAGGGTGATCCTTGTTGTGTTTGCGATTTTCAATTTTAGCCGTTCTAGTTTTCACTTAGAATGCGAAAATCTTCTTACAGGTCCTTATAACGATTTCTTTCTTTGAAATAAAAAAAATATGGTTATAAAACTATATTTTTGATTTGAATAAGTCCGAAAATAAAAATTTACTATAAATCAATTCAAATTATTATCAGGTCATTATCCAATTCTTGATATCCCAATTTAACTGAAGACCCAAATCAATTCCATTCTTTGCATATTAAATGCTATTATGAAAACATATTTTTCCCGTGTAACGCACCCTAAAACTCTGCTTTCAATATTTCTTTGATGAAATCTGTTGTACTGTACAAGACAAAGTTCAATTTACAGAGGATTTTTGTTTGCCTTAGAAAAGTTTATCATAAAGACCGTATAATACGGTCTTTGCGCTTCACATAAGTTAATATATCAACCATTTAAATATATTCTTATTTGTTTACCATGTACTGTATGCATTACACCATTTCACTAAATCCAGAAACCGTGTACAGTACTAAACCGTGTATTTAGTACTGTACTCATCATGTAATCTTTGTGTTCCATATAAGTTAATACACATCCCATTTTAATAAATCCAGAAACCATGTAGAGTTTGAAAAGAACAATGTCAATGTTTGCTTATTTTGTACAATAAGCATGATACGGTCTTTGCCCACTGTATAAGTAAATACACCAACCATTTAAGTAAATCCATAAATCGTATGACTTGTAGAGTTTGTAAAAACCGAATGTATCAAACGGTTTATTTTGTACTGTATGGCTAAAGCGTAATATTACGGTCATTACGGTTAATACGATATTTTTCTAATTACGAATAAATACAGTGCATGAACGAGGGACAACCTTTGTGGTATATTACATGCTTTGAAGGAAAAGTATATATATCGTAAATTGGATATCAAACTTAAGGCTTGGGAACAAAGTATTCAAGCTCTAGTTATACAGATATGATTTATGTATATCAATATATATACTTGAAAAGACTGTATAAATCGCAGACTAAAATTGATCACGTTGCGAGGTTTGTTAAAATGGAAAATGTGTTATATTAAAATTATGTTGCAGTAAAATTTGTGTATCAACTGAAAAATCTTTAAGTACATATCTTAGATGATATAAAAACTATCTGTCATTTTTTGTCAGTAAAGAAATACACTATATGATGCTTTATTACTATAATAATGATGAAACTACAGCAAAAACATTTCGAAAAATTTGTGGGTTGTTTCGTTCACTTACTGAAGTTTGTCAAAGAAGCACCACGCTCCGAGAAATATATATATAAATTCTATAAATTCTTTTCTATGTTTTATAAGGTCCATATAAATATCAACTGCAAACAAAGTTAAGAAGGCATCAATGGCTTAATCCAATATAAGAATGAGAGCATGTGAAAAGTGTAAGAGAGTTTGTAGATGTTCCAGTAATAAAGACACAATCATTACCTCTACGCATATTGACTAATAGAATGGTTTGCCTTGAATTATTGTTTTTTATTAGGCTATATAGTATATGAGATTATCTTACATAGTTGTGATGATGTTAGAGCCAACATTATATTATAGCCAACATTATAGTCAGATCCCTAGTTTAGTAAGCTAATTATTGCCTTTAACACCAATTGTCTATTATCCGCTGTTCCAGCCTGGTGCAATTGGTAATTTGATCTTCTAGTGCACATAACTTGACCATTTAAAAAGAAATATCAAAACAAGACAATGAAGGCAATACCAAGCTACATACATTTTTAATGACTCAGAACAAATTCATAGTATTTGATTGGGAAGTTTTGATACATCTACCATATATATCCCATGCCTTGTATTACTACTATTTCTTTCGGGCTCAGTAAATTTCTCATAATGAAAGGCTGAAAATCACTTAACTGAAGCTTTTCGCCGACAAACCACAAAAGTTCCACACCGATGGAACTATGATGTAATTCGAAAAGTGGCAAAAGGTCATAAATAATATTGTGGTCAATATAAATTTATTCAAATTTTTTTTCCTGAAATGTACTAAAAACCGAAGTACACTTTTCATATGATGCAATAGTATAAAATGAACTTAAGTATAGTATTTCCAAACACAACGATTTGAATAATATTATTGTAATAAATATATAACACATAACACATAATGTATTAAAATCTCTTTTTTCCCATTGGAATCCAAGCCAATGTTGATATTTTAAAAATACCTACAGAATACATATATCTGCCAAAATCCAAACTGTTTTTAAATGAAAACCAAACTTAATTGAATCTTAAATTTTTTATTGAGTGAGAAAACTGCTTAAAAAGGTCGTCGAACTTACCCTCGGATTAAATTATCATAAACATTAGCATTAAATGTGTTAAGTGTATCTACTGCTTCCTATGAGAGCGTACAAAGAGCTTGAAAATAGATAATTCCTATGTTCAACGATTTCTAAGTTCTTGATACTTGACTTAAGAATCGTTCAAATCATAATTTCGGGATTGTTGCTTCGGTTTGAAGTACTTTTGATGGCACAATTAGAGCAAATTATGAGTGTTATCAAGTATTATCACATTTTTCTCATGCCAACTGAAACCACACCAGGCTGTTGTGAGGCTGCACTTAAGCTGCTTGCAGTTGGACGAAATGCAATGAAAACTCACTTGATTCTACAAATGGAATCCAATTGCAGTGCATTCATTAGGCTTATCTGCAATAATATGTTACTATAAGTTGCGCAGATTAATTACATCAATTTTATTTTAACGAAAACACCAGTATAATCCAATCAATTACCTCAATACGAGTGTGCTTATTTCACACAAACACCCCTCTCAGAATATCATCCATACATAATATCCATATATGTCATATACTGTGCGAAATATAATGGCGGTAGTTGCGTGACACACTTTTCTCACTTACCGAAATCTACGGCCGTTTTTTCGATGTGATGTATTCACAAGCAGTCAATCCCTTTCACTCGAGTGCACTTGAAGAGGCGATCATTAGCCGCAACAATGCCAACGAGGTAACCACAAAAGCTGTGAGGCAGGGGCATTAGCATACAAGATATTAACTCACAAAGTTTCTAAAAATGCCAGCAAAAGAAATTTACATAATTTACGAGGTACACTCACACTTGCTTAGCGTAGTAGGAAATAACGTATGTATCTGATCGATGTATCGCGCCGTATGATTATGGAATACCAAATGCCACCCACATTGAGCAGCACTAAAGGCGGACGAAGCCTTTTAGTGCGCTGTGAAGGAGCATAAACAACTTTGGGTAGTAAAAAAACCACACACCTGACAAACAGTAAAACTCATGGAAGAACATCAAATGCTGCGCAACATAATTAAATCTAAAATATTAAATCTAAAATGTGAAATGTGAAATGTTAAATGTTTTCAACTTGAGGCAAATATTGTGCTCTATTTGATTTTACACGCATTCTACGCAAATAATTAATCTAAGGCGGGGGAGTTCGTCAATGAAATCACCGCCTTTTGTTAGTACTCGCATTCGCTCTTCCAAGTTGCTTCTGTTCCATCGCTTTTGTGTAAATAAACTTAAGAAATCTTCAGATAAATACGACTCATTTTCTTCTAAAGTCAATACAGCTTCATTGTTTATGTGGTGAATTTCAATTGTGCTATGGTGAGTTTGCGGTTGTAGAAGATTTCTAAGGTCGTGTGCGAGTTAGGCTAAGTTGATGCTAAACCAAATGGGAGATTTTTTGGGATTTTTTGCACTGCACACATTTTACCATTTATCAACACGTATCGACACATCAATACATTATCGACACAACTTAGAATTTCCCTCATTTAGAACGCAACTTAG